AAACCATTTCAGGTGACTACCTCTTGAAGCTCATGGAGAGAATGCCAAGAGTGTGCAAAGCAGTAATCAGAGCAAAGGGTGGCTATTTTGAAGAAACTAGAATATAAAACATGTTTTCAGTTATTTCACCTTTTTTTGTTAAGTACATAACTCCACATGTGTTCATTCATAGTTTTGATGCCTTCAGTGAGAATCTACAATGTAAATAGTCATGAAAATAAAGAAAACGCATTGAATGAGAAGGTGTGTCCAAACTTTTGGCCTGTACTGTATAATAAATGTACCTCCTAGTAGCATGTTTGTAATGTGTTTTCATGTGTATTAGAGATGTTGGTGAAGGTTCTCAGTCATCCACGTCATAGTAATTTTAAGTGCTTTATCGTTGCCAATTGGACTGGCTTGAGTTTCTTGAAGACGTTTCACTTCTCCTCCAGGAGGTTTCTTCAGTCCTGGAGCTGGAACTGAAGCCTCCTGGGTGAGAGGTGCAATGTCCAGCTGCCAACAATATAGCACTTAAAAGTATCAGAGAGCGTCAAGTGATATTTGGGTTGGTCTCAGCATGCGGTCTGGCCAGGGCTGGAGTTTCTGACCCTTGCAGAGCTCTAAGTCTAAATGCTACGGTTACCATGTGTCTAACCCAACTTGTTTTTCTTCATATTAGATCATCAACACCCTCTCATTTTTCCTTATCGCCGAAAAACACTGTGTTATAGGAGTCCTTATTAGCTAGATCAGCAGTGCGGTTCAAAAGACGACAGCGTGTTGATACGTGGTTCAGGTTTGCAGAGGCTGCTCTCCCTCAGTCCCTGGTTAGTTCCAAATACTGGGCAATTTGTGTGAGGGCAAACAATAAGCACTGATTGCTCCCTGTGAGAGTCTTACATAACAATGATGCTATTACAACAATTATGTCTCAGAGAAGACAATGTTCCACACAAATCCTTTTAGGGAAAAGCTAAAAACACACACGGTCCAAAAAAAACTTTAAACTTGAGGAGCAGATGGGAGTTAAAAATCAAACAACTCTGGAAGAAGAAGCCAAGATGAAGAGATGCACAGAAGTTATCTGATCATTAAGATTTCTACTATTTGTAATAACAGTAATACATATTGCTTTGACTGTGGAGGTTATTTAAAAATGGTCATCAAAACAAGCATCGTTTTTTTCAAACATACACGCACATGAACACGTGTACCTTGAGTTGGTATGCGCAGTGATGCCAAGTGAACTGATGAAATTTCACCTTCGGTGCATCTTGTTACTCAGCAGCAGAGGATAAAGTCCAATAATGTGAGTCATTGAATAAAGTAACAGAATGAATTAGCAGATTAGATAGACTTGTCTTTACCACTCACATAACACCAACACACCAGAATACATTAGAGTTATGTAACCAAACTTATGTTGTGACATGACTAAAATGATTCAAAAATAACACCACAGCACTGCGAACAGGGTTTATACGTCAACAAGGACTTCTGACAATTCCACTAATCATCTTATATTTGTTGTTTTTTTCCCACTGTGTTAAATGTCTCGAGGACATGCTGCCACAAATGTCTGTGTTTATGTTCCACATATGAGTCTTTAATCCTGACAACAGTGAGATGGGAGCATTTCCAGATGTAACCTCTTCTGGTTAACGTGCCCCTTCCTCATTACTGCTGTGTTGCAAAAATAGGCCATTGCTCATTTTCTGACCTCCTGGAGCCAAAATCATCCACACCAACAAACAGACCTGTAACAAAAAAATCACCGTGTTAATTATATTAATTATGTTTGTTGAATGCAGTTCAGTGAAATAACAAATCTGCATATTGTAAACATGTTTTTGTTCTTCAAGGAGATACTTCTTCCATTATCTGTTGCCAAGAGACAATGAACACTGCTAAAAAAAGATCTAAAAATAAATCCAGATGTCACTGCAAAGCAGTTGCTTATGTAAGATCTGCAGAAATGAATTAGCAGATGTCAGTACAAGAGGGTGTGAGGGCAGTGTTGAGTTAATGAGAGAGAGACCACACAGTCAAACTCATTGTTACTCACCTCCGTGTTCAAATTAACTGCACGGCTCCACTTGAAACAAGTGGTGCTATGGTTCGATACCGCATTAGATGCTGAGAGCCCTCCTCGAGATCTACAACGTACTCTCTGATAGAAGAAACAGAGTGGAGATAATATCAGATGTTTCAGTATCTAAGCAGGAAATCATTACAGTACTGAATGTGGAAAGGCGACACTGCCATCTAGTGGGTTTTAAAAACAGGGTCAACAACTGAAACGAACCTCTGATCATCTGTTTCAGGCTCGACCATGATGTTTTCCTGTCTCTCCTTCACTCGTAGGAACACAAAGGAGTCCAAGCAGGGCTCAGGCACTGGGATTACATTAGAATATGAGTGACTTAATGTGATGGGCAGTGAAAATGTCAAAGCAAATGCCACCACCTGCCAGCGCATGCTAATACCAGTATTTCAGGCATGAGACATCCAAGACTGGATAAGTATAAATAGAGTGTGTGAGCTGGAAATATAGACAATACAAAGGAGATGTTACCTGCTTTGAGCATGTCCACTGTCTGCAGGTTGGGGGGCATGCGCTTCAATGCTACAGCCTTCAGGTAGGTTTCAGTATTGGCGTAATACCTGTATACCAGATTTGTTTTTAGTGTCACAGAAGCAGCAGTATAAACAAACACTTCTGACCATACTCAACTATTCTTGCTCAAACCAACACAATACTCACTCTTTGGCAAAGGCAAACTCCTCCGGTGAAAGCAGTGACGGATCACCCACACCTCGAGACTTTTCTCTCTCCAACACATGCGGGAAAAACTTTTCAATCTAGAAATACGTGGCATAAAGATCAGGCAATTTTGTCAGCAGGCACAGAGGGCGATGAGAGCTTTAGTTTGCACATTGCATTGTTGACCTGACTGACCTTCTGCAGGCGAGAGCGCAGGTAGCTGCTGAGCACAAAGCGAATCCTGTCTATTTCCATGCGATGGATGCTGGCCTTCGCGTCACCTTTTTTCACCCGCTGTAAGTTGGCTTCCTGTAAGAGGAAAAGGTCAGGACACTGTGAGAAATTAGCTATTCCCTTATTCAGGGAGACTTACAATGACCAGAAAGGAAGACATTCAAAATATGAGGATAATATGAATCCATTCATGATACAGTCATTGGAAAATTTGAGTATTCGAATGAATGTGTATGGAAGTGCATGGATCTGATATTAAGATTCAACAGCAGTAATGTAATCCAAGTCACACTGATATACAACCGCTTCAAAGTTTTGTCCGTTACTGTACTGAGAATGGTAAAGCAAACCAACTAGTACAGAAACATTTCCATACAGATTTTACATTATATATAAACTTGCTACATTTCACATTTAGTTACTATTTTCTAACATTTATAGACTAAACAACTGAGAGTTTAACAGAGGTGGGATGTTACTAAGTACACTTACTGCAGTGGTGTACCTGAGTAACATTGTTGAGGTACATTCAGGGCTCGACAGTGCGAGCATTTCACTCGCATTTGCGACTAAAAATAGTTGTGTGCGAACTGTAAAAAATATTTAGGGGCGCATGTGCGCATTAAAAAAAATCAGCCGAAGCAGCCTATATTTTTGTCAATAAAAAAATATGATAATCTAACCGCAAATGTTGGAGGAACTCCAGCAGCCTTCCCTCTTCCCTCTTCCCCGTGTGACACGGTTATGGACGGTTTTCCAAGCCACTGTCGGCACAATGAATCTAAGTCCCACTGTTGGCAGGGTGGAAATAAGTCAAAGTGTGGAGGAGATGGACCAGGTGGATCTCCGGGGAAACCTCCGTTCTCCCCGTAGTTCAAATAATTTCAACTCTGAGCGCAGCGCTCGGGCGGAAAATCAGAGCGGTGCTCGACACCAAGGGTAGCGGTGCCGCTTTGTCAGGCGTTGCTGCCCTCTCCATTGACAAACAATGGGACAGCCAGCGCAAAGCGGTTTTACAGCTGATCATGTGCAGAGGCCTTTAGGTACCGTTCGCCACGGTACTGCTGCTGGGCAGGGTAGAAATAAAGCCATTTTCACACAAAGCGCGCAAAGCGCAGACCTCCGCCGATGAACCCATTCATTGTGTATGTGCTACCGCGGCGCAAGAGCGCACCGCTCTGCTGCCGAGCTGAGCGGCGCGAGTGTCTGCGTGCCACCAGCCTGCGCTCGAATTGAATTTTTTTTATTTCACCGCAACGCGCTGTGACAACACCTCGGCGCCGCGCGTCCAATAGCAGAGAAGAGCCTGAAGTAGACCCGGAAGTGGTCACCATGGAGTTGTAGCTCCTGAACGAGCCTGCACTCCCCCAAATCCTGTCCTCTGCGCCCTACCCCGAGAAAGCTCTGTGTGAAAGAGGTTTTAAGTCCTGCAGAGTTTCAGAGGACCTGGAGAATGTTTTAGGATAGTAATAACATTATATAAGATCATCATATTGCAGAGATAATATATATATAAGATAATAACATTAAAGACAAAATTAAATTGCAATAGGCCTACTTTTTCAAAACTTGATGATTTTACCTTTCTGTACATTTTGTATACAAATTCATTAAATAATTTTGCTTGTAAATGTCTATTTGCATCACGTTTATTACGGAAAACACATTATTTGATCAATTTACATTGTGCCCCTAAAGTTCTTTGTGCGCTTCTTACTCTTTCAACTTAGGAGCACATGTGCTCCTTGGGAAAAAAGTTAGTGTCAAGCCCTGACATTACTTTATAATACCTAGTATTTTAATGTCTTTCCATTTCATATGTTCACTCCACAACTAAGAGGGAAATTGTGCCTTTTACTAGGCTCAGATTGTTGTTCAAAACAATATTGGTTGGCCACCATAATGGCCATCACCTGTGTGCAATAACAGAACAATGTTCAATTATGCAATGCCTGTTATGAATTTTGCAGTACATTTAATCTCTCGTCATGTTTTCTCTGTGCTTCATCCATACAAACAGAATGAACAGAAAGGACACTGAACTGTTTGCTATGTTCATTTGACTAGCACAAAGGAAAATGGCGGTTGTTGTTTGTTGCTATGATGACAAACATACATCAATGGAGTCGTAAATTCTGTCACACTCATTACTTTGAGAACTCTGTTTTGGCCTATTTTTACACCCGTTTTCCTCATTAAACAGAAAAACACAACCTGACACTAATCCAGGTTTCTCTCTTTTACCTAACTAATACTAATGTTGGCTTGCCTTGTTAACTCATCATATATCACACCTCATTCAAACTCCACAGAAACAAAATAACTTACTAAAACTGTCTTAGTCTTGTCAGTCCTCTAGTTAGTCTGTTTTAACAAACATACAATTAATGGCAACAAAAGAAACGGAAATAACAGTTGCAGTGTTATTATAAAAGTAACAGATTGCTTATTGAAAATGTACTACTCCACTGTCCGTTTGGTCTTGAGTGCAATACCTCACCTCAGTGAGTTTGCAACTTGCTGCAAGTTGGTTTGTTTGTAAGACAACATGTAGGACTATCTCTGTGTTCTCCTCATTTCATACATCAATATTGATAAATGTGTTATTGAACAAAAATAACAATTCCCGTTGATTGATCTGATTTACTGATTTCAGCATGCCCTTGTGCAAAATATCACTCACTGCCTACACACTGAGGCCACTTTGTAGCCACTTAAAGGTGAACACCAGAGTTTAAGCACTCTAGCTTTTGGATTTGGGAGAGTTGTTCATTTCTACTAATATTTTCGGACTGTCATAGACCACATGAATAACGTATGAATTTTGAAAATGAGCGTAATACTGTAAGTGTATCACAACATATGCTTCTCCAGTCCATATCTATTTATATCTATGTGCACTGTGCAGGTCTGTCTTCAGTTTTGTTTTTTGATTTATCGTATATCTTTGCTTTTTTAAAAGATGTATCGCCTGTAGGGCAATTTCAGTATAGCCCAACCCTACTTTTTTACTGTACTTTAAAGGTCTAGTGTGTAGGATTCAGTGGGATCTAGCAGTAAGTGCCACAGTCTGCAACCAACTGAGACTTCTCCTATGTGCCAAGCATGTAGAGGAACTACAGTGGCGTACATGAACACATGAATGGTCCTATCTAGAGCCAGAAGCCCTTTTTAGATAGGAATTGTGCAAATTTGTAGGAAAGCCCAATCAGTCTTTTTTCAGCATTGGCAGTATAAAAACAAAATTGGGGATGGCGGAAAATTGCTGCCTACCTACTTTTGTTTATAAAGAATGTGCCTTTTTCGGGGCAATGGGGGGCGTGAGCAAGTAACAAAACGTGTAGCTCAGCGTGTGACGTAAACAGTGACGTGGGAGGGAAGCCGCTGCTCGTCAGGCGGCGGTAGTCAGACGGTGATTCTCTCGTAAATCGGCCCGTTCTTCACCGTCCCCGTCATCTGATGGTTAATGGCCTCTTCGTTTGCAAGTGCAAGGAGGGCGCGCTATTCCTTGTCTCCCCAGTTGCTCATCTTTACAGTGTCTGTCAGTTTTGCGTTTCCCTCTTGCTACTAGCTGCTCGCTAATTCCTGCTATCAGCTCCTCCCACAAGTCTTCAACAGCCCCCTCCCGTTGTGGAAGGCTGCCTTGGTCTGTTTAAACGTAAAGGGTTCCGCCAATATAACTACCCTCCAAGGCGGAAAATTGGGCGTCTCGGATCAACTCGCCTTTCCGCCTCTGTGTGTATCAACACTCGCAGCTGACCACCAAATCAGCCCAACATTTGCGGAAAATCTGGCAGTGTAAAAGAGGCTAGAGTGTGGTTTGTCCATTGTGGGCAACTGTAGAAACAATATGGCTGACTCCATGAGAGAGTGTTGATATAAACAGCACATTCTAGGTAATGAAAATATGACTCTTCAGTATCAGGTGATTATACACTGATGAAAACACAGTTATGATTTTTTTATTCCATTTCTGCCAGAGTATCCTCCTAAATCCTACACGTGGGACCTTTAAAAGCACAAAGGAATACAACATCTGTCAAAGTGAAATGCTGCGTAGACATTAATGTATCAGCATCATCTTATAATAAAACATACAACGGTACAGCACTCACAAGAGCTATTTTTCTGCATCGAGGACTTTAACTTTTGATACTTTTAGCACATTTTGCTACCAATTGTGAAGTTATGTGTGTACTTAAGCTGAGTAACATTTTCAATGCAGGACTTTAACTTGTTACGCCATTTTTTGCCTACATTTATTGAGGTAAAGCGCCTGAATACTTGTTCCATCAGTACATGTGGTTATAACCCTGCACCACACTGTTTGTGCTGTTTGTGACATTTAGAAAATGTAGGCAGAATCGTGAGTGATCCTGAACCTACAGTGAAACACAACCCACGTAGCAGGAGGTATTCCCCGTTTAATTTACCATGTGAGTCAGCTGCTCCATCACACACTCCACCACCTCTGATCTGTTCTCCAGCAGCTCCGGTGAGAACTTCTCATTCAGCCAAGCCTGCGGGCGACACACAGAAAACACAGCTGCGTGACGGTCTAATGAGGGGGAGGTAATTTCTAAGAGGCTATATGAGGTCTATGGCACTTCATGACTACAAACTGGATAATTCTGACAAAGACTCACTTCTTCCAGTTTGGCTATCAGCTCCGCCGGGGTCATAACATCCTCTTGAGTGTCATCTTGGTTGACGTCGCTGCCTTCATCAGACAAAACGTCCGACATAGTTTCCTTTCACGAAGCAAACAGACCTAAAACTGAACTTAATCGAGACGCTAACTTTATGCTGAACTTTAAAATGTAATGTTATTGCGATTCAAACGGAATAGTTTAGAAAAATTTCCTCAAGACACGCGACTAACTTCCACAGCAGCCTGTTTTCTCCGGAGAAACTCCTTGTTTATTCGCGCCACTGAAGCTCTTCTCGCGAGATATGTTTTTTGTATTTGGTACCCTACGTTTGACCTTCAAGGCAAGGTTCCTCACATGCTGTGTGTAGTCTGCACCACCGACGATCGAGCTATGCGATCAGATACTTCAGTTTATACATATTAAATTAAGGCTTTCTATCATGGTCGGTGTAAGCGTCTGATTTTCAACTGGAGCAGGTGGTATTTTAACGCTGCCTGGGAGCAGCGCTTCCTGAAAGTCAATGCTCAGGGAACTCTTAACTCATATGTCAAAACAAGGAATATTACCAACATAATATACTATAAATTAAAAATGCTCAAAAAGATATGCACTGTATCCTACTCTGTAAGTATGATGATGATAATGGTACATCTAATAGCATTTTTATGTCATTTCAATCAGAATAAAAACCACATTAATTTGGGTTGCATGAGAACTGCACTTGAAATATTAAAAATGTCAAATTATCGACAAGCCAGAAAAAATAATAATAAACTGATTATTTACACACACACACACACACACACACACACACACACACACACACACACAAAGATGTGTCTGCAGTCAAAACATGGAAGCAAATTTCCCACAGAGCTTCCCAAAGTCAACATACCATGTCTCCTCTGCACAACTGTGTTTCTCCTTCACCCATGTGCATCTCTGTCAGCTAGTGTGAATTTAACAGGAATGCATCATCTCCTTGGTTTGCTCCAGCTGTCTTGTTTCAGACTACACTGTGGCCTGCAGCCAAATCTCATTTGTCTGATTTACTTCTTCTCTTTCCTCCTCATTGCTCTTGCCTCAGAATTCATCGTTATTTCCCCCAGAAATCATCTTGCATCCGCTGTAATGACAGTAAGTATTGCATTTCATCTCTCAGTAGCTTCCTCTGGGTTTATCTGTGCTACATCAGACCTGCAGGGTTTACGCCAGGTCACACCACAACCTGGAGAGCTGCAGTTATTTTACAAAGCAGATCAACAGATATAAATAACACAGTGGGCAGACTCAGAGGAAAAGTTTCTGCTTAAAAACAACATAAACAAACACAGTGAAGTCAGAGTGAAAGATTAGGAAGAGGGACTGCTGTGGGACAATGCATTTTGCATATTTATGGGGGGCAATTGATTAAAAAAAGCCATTTTAATTTTGCTAAATTGTGCTTGAACAGCCATGCACAATGACAAACCTGTAAATACCAGCTAGTGCTGCCTATTTTTCATCATATTATGACTAATAAATGTCCTTTATTCTCTTATTCACTGATGACCTAGTCATTTACATGGGAGCCCTCAAACAACTAAAAGAAATAAAACTCGTCAAAAATACTGCTCTCATTGCAAAAATATTTTTATTTTTGTTTTTACGGCATGGTGAAACAGCAACATTTTTAAAAAAGGCTCAGATTTCTGATATTTATCTAGTTATTTTTCTTATTTATTCATGATCATTTACTGGCTTAAATACATTTCAATGACATAAGATCTGCATAAAATAATTAACACTGATACATGGTACATACAGTATTTATACAACATCATTGAGTTCAGCAGACTCCACAATACAGTACGGTGAGATGGTTCTTTGCTTTTAACACAAAGTATTTAAATTGTGCAAGAGCATAGATTTCTTTTTTGAGGGGGTAGGGCTCACATATGAAACAGGGGAAGTTGGGGGGTCATCCCTCAGAACACATTAAGCATCAAACAATTTAGGGCAAATGTCTTTATTGGTTTATTTGGTCCCTGTGTCTCCCCTGAAATCTACAGTTATGAAATTGTGCAAGTGAGCACCAATGTGCAAGAACTGTAGTTTTAACAGAATTTGATTTTATATTGTATTTAAGTTGTCTAATGTGAATTTGTCATAATCACAAACATTTCTCATCAGTGTAGCGCTGTGGCTTATTGTTTCGTATTTAATCAAAATACAGCCATAAAAATAGTACATACATTAAATGAGTACAGTTTGCACGGTTGTGCTTTGAGTTCAAAAGTAATGCACCATTTCGATGCATCTACAAATACTGTATCTCTAGCCATCGCTGCAGTGACTTCATTTCCTTTCAGAGTAGTTTGGTTTTGGCCACAGAAGGTCAACACAGTCACACAGCTACTAGCAGTATCTAGTTTTCCACGAGAGGATGGCTGTGTGTAAAGCCACAGAACATACCTATATCATGTTTTAAACACAAGTAAGTCTTGACAGTGAGCAACAGAAAAGTGCTCAATGACTGCCTTCCACAGCATAAAGATGTACTTTATTATTATTATTACTGGAGTCTGAAGTTGAAATACAAAGAATCACAGCTTGTGGGGGTAAATGGGATGCATGGCAGGAAGGGTATATCCAGTGTTGGGATTTAACAGAGGGATGGAGTAGGGATATGGGTAAACAGCAGACCCGATGAGAGCAGAGTGAGCTGGACTCATTGGGACATGTCGGTACATTAGCGGAGATTGAGGTAGTCTCATTCTGTTGGGGAGATATGTAGGGTGTAATAGAGGCTGGTGCCGAGAGTCTCTTCCTGATTTGTCGTAGCTCGACAGTACGCATGATGCCGGCAGGCTGGTGGTGGAATGGGACAGACTCTGCTGAGTGGGGGGAACTTTTTGTAGCATTGTCCTGGATTTGTCTCTCTTCTCTGTCTGATAAAGCCACGGAGCCATGTTATTGAGCTTCTTCGGATAGGTCAGAGAATCGTCCTGCTGCATCAATCTGCCCGGCTGGATTTTATAACCCAGCCGAATAGGAGCGGGCCGTGGTAGCTGCCCAGATTTTGGAATAACTTTGGTGAAGCTAGAGGTAGATGTTGGAGCCCAGTCAGATCTCACAGATGAGTAAAAAGGATGGACGGAATATTTGCTACTGCCTTTGTGGATTGGCTTCCAGGTAGAGTCTTTAGTCTGGACTTTGATCGAGTCTGCAGATTGGGTGCTAATGTCTTTACTTTGTCCTGCAGGGTCTTTGGATATCTGACTGCAGCTCACAGACTTGCTTTCCTCACTACAGCCAGATGCATTTTTCACAGAGCTGGGACAGTTTTTGGATAGCTCAGAGCCTGATGCAGGTTTACCTTCATTCTCTTCTGGATTGTCCTCTGATGAAACAGAGACAGGGGAGGGGCCGCGTGAAGAGGAAGGGGATAAAGGAAGTGGGGAGCTGTCAGAGGAGTTGCAGTTCCGACTGGACGAAGCCCGGGCTGGAGACTGGGAGCAGTGAATGACAGAGGGCCTTTCTTTATCCTCGCCCTGGGGACTCAAGGGCAAGTTAAGGCTTGCCTGAGCCATGCGCTTTTTCTTCTCCAGAGGAGAGATGACCTCCCCAGTAGCAGATGGGATATGAGCAGTCCAGGGGCTGGAAGTGGGGACCTGAACAAGGTGGGCATAGACAGAAGTGCAAAGACTGGCGGGGGGTCTGTTTGGCTGAGAACAGTCTTGGTGGTGTCTCTCAGAGGTGGCGGCCCAGAGAGCAGGGTGAGCATGCATCACTGCTTCACTTTGGCGGGCAGCCTCTGGACTTCTCTGGGTGAGTATCTATAGAAAAAAAACAGGGGATATCTTAGGACACTTCATATAATTGTACAGAGTTCTTTCTTTTTGAGACATTTCGACAGATTTAGTATCTTACCTCCATTTCTGAATCCATCTCTCTATCTGACTGAGTCCTTTTCCTCTTCCTCTCAGCCTTGGTGACCTTACCATCCAAACTTCTCTTATATGGCTTCCTCGGTTTGCTTGGAGGCAGAGGTCTGTCCTCCTCTCCTTTTACATGTCTTTCAAAGGGCAGCACCAGCCTAAAGAAACATATCTCGGATTAGGAATCAGTCGCTTTAGTTTTAATTAATTAACAGGTTTGTCGGAAAAAAGGAACATCCTCACTTTTCATAGTGTCTGCGAGTACAAGTAGCAGCACTGGTGCTACCTGGACTTCCTCCCAGCTCATCGTACACTTTCTTCCAAAGACGCCGAGCTGTCACCTGTAGGATAACACAGTGTGAAAAATGTGCATATGTAACAACACATGTCTGAAATGGTTACAGTAAGCGGACATTTAAACGTGTGAGAAGTAACTGACAGATTTTGGGAGAATCAATGGCTCATGACACCGGTGGTCGTCTATTCTCCAAGCTAAAGGGCTGCTTAGCTTGTCACTGCCACCAGGGGGTGCAAAAGATGATGTATGAAATTTTATAATGTTTTTTGTGCTGTTTTATTAGGGTTCAAGCAAAGCAGCACCTCAGAGCCTGAAAAATGAAGCCAACATGGAAGTGCTCAAAACTGTTCTCTTAATGGCCACTTGAGGCAGGCTCAAGAAGCCAGTCATTCCCCATAGACCCCCATGCTGAAAAGGGCAACTTCACAGCAGAAATAAACATGTTTACAGCCTGGTACAAAAACTGTCTCTGTCTCTATACCTTCCTTCTCCCTTCATGGCAACTGCACAGGGGTGGTGAACTTTTATACAACTCACCTGTTTACATTTCATTAAGGCTAAATGTTACGCATAATTTGGCCTCTCACCCAAATATGGTCACTTCTGGTTTAAAAACACCCAAGATAGCTAATGCCACACCGAAGGGAGTCCACAAACCAGTGGGCAACGTAACAGCTACGCGTTGGTTTGTTATTATTTGTCATCTTATGCTGTGACTCAAATTCCTGTGAGCATGAGCTAGAATTAGCTAGAAGTATGGAACTTGGACCAATAACTGGAAATGATGTGCAAATGCTTTCCAATAAATATTTGGCCACCGACAGACACTTTAGTTAGTATCAACCAAGATCTAAAGAGTCATATTGATTGGTACATATGGGCGTGGTCTATTTAGCATTATAGGCTATGTTATGCCTTTGCTCAATTTGCTGTGAGCTGGAACGAGATACAGACATGAAACTTGGCACCATAACTGGAAATGATGTAACGCTTCACATGAAATTTGATCTGAAATCTGAAATCTGATTTGAAAGGCTGCATCCCTCACACTAGTACTAGTACTAGTCTGATTGAGTTGAAATCTGGTGCACATATCCGGCTAAATTTTTTGATAATTTGCATAGTGTGAAAAGCAATAATATGAATTGACTTTTTGGGATTTTTATTGTATGAACACTACTGTTTGTATACAGCCTTGCTAGACAGAAATACACATTTATCAAAAATGGGCAAAACTGGTTTAAAAACACGGCCACAGTCAATAGAAAAGCCTCGCTATGGACGGGGCTTAGCAGGAAATTGACTATAACTTAAGTTGTCTTTGAGTGATCCTGATTAAACTCAGTGGAGGTATCAGACACTAAGTCCTGAACATACACACCAAGCTTTGTTCAATCCAATAAAGGGGGAGAAAAAAGCGGGACTTAAAGTGTGCAGTTCTTGAAATTCTGTCAATACTGTAATAATGAAACAAGTTGGTCTCACTCCTTAAAACAGAAGTGATTTTGCTCAGCTTTGTGATGCCTCACTGTTTTGATTTTGTATGTATGGCTCAACTTATTGCAATTTATTACTCTTAATGTTCTTATTAAAATGTCTTTAATCTATGTTGTGCACAAGGGATGTTGTGGCCCAGGCCCCCTCTCTCCTTTGGCCTTGAAAGGCAAAATTCTGATAGAAAATGCAAAAACTTTGCATAATTTAAATTTAACTTCAAATTAATTTGTCCTGTGATAGCTTTCCTTCCGTTCGCAGTTACGTGCTGTGCTTTGACCACATCATTCAAGTCTAGTTTTAAAACACTGTGTGGGGAAGGGAGGTGGCTGGCTACCACCTAAATGATCTGTTGGTTTTCACACCCACTCTCATCTCTATATGTATAAATATGTAGGCGGCTTGTGTCGTGTTAACACCTTGCGGTACATTGGCAGTGGTGGTGGCGAGGGTCAGCTTTGTTTAGAGCCCCAGCCCCGTTCTCATACCATTGCAACACTGTCAGAAACTCTTCTCACAGCGTCAACATCAAAGACAACAGAGCAATGACAGCTTGAAAGCCAAACGTCCTCAAGTGTGATAGAAACCACCATGTTACAGCCCCTGACCTATAGTTCAATTTCCACTTCGAAACCTTTAAACACACCTGTTAAAAGACTATAGTCGAATAAAAAACTTGTACTTACTGAATCATAGCCTCCAAGCTTCTCAACAGCTTTGTAGATCCTCCAAAGATTAACTGGGAAAAATCCACACATAAGAATCTAATTATTTTCATTCAAATTCCAAGTGAATAATGCATCCAGTCAACAGCAAACACAACGCTAACAAACATCAACTCACTCTGTTTGAAGCCCAGATGTGGGATCCTCTCTATGGGTGTTCCTCTGTCCTTCATGAAAGAGTGCAGACTTGACACAAATGCCTTCTCCTCCATCTGCACCAGATTAGGCCTCGCTTCTTCCTCACATTCAGTCATTGAGTCATGAATCTCGATAACAGCGGGAGAACCCTGGCGTGGAGTAAACATGTCAAACGTTTTGCAGTAAAAGTCAAGCAGCTCCCGTAAATGCAACACAGTCCACTGCACTGATATAGAAACCTGCTTTACCGACGGTTGAGGGTATTATCACAGATGGGAAAGAAGACGCATAGAGTCATCTCATGGGATGCAAATGTTGAAATGAAACATCAAAATCAGAGAGTAGGGTTTTACCGCTACTTTCAATAGATAACCGCTACACATCCTGTCTGGAGAGAAAGCAGCAGACTTGTGGGGTTTTTGGTCGAGAGTTGTCTGTCGCTGGTATCACAAATGTCACTTTGAAAAACAAACATAAGCCAAAAGATTGACTTTATATATTTAAATGTTGAAAACGATACAGTGGTGACTGATGATACTCTGAATAAAGATGCTGCTTTGTATCCAAGAAATAAGTGGTTGCATGTCTGCTGTATTTCTGCAGAACTAGAGTCAGTACCTTGGAAAATGATTTCAAGATACCAAGAAGTTAGATGTAGTAAGTGTTACAACTCAGACTACCCAGAACTGCAGTGTAAGAAATTGACAATGTCACTATTTGTGGTTTGCAAGAAAAGAGAAATGAAACAGTGAAGGCATGCAGAATCAAAATTATCAGTTAGAAAGGTTTCAAGAAGTGTCAAACATCGACGAATAAAGAGGAGGAACCGTTGATGAAGCGGATACATTGTATTTTTATCATGATGATATTCTTGCGGTGTGTGGCTTGAACATTTGTGCTTTTAAGTTATCCCTTTTAAAATACTGAACCTTATTGGGGTTTTTTATGTTGGCAATTTTCAGTACGTGGTATGAACAAGTGGCAGTTGTCAGTTTAGTGACCGCAACAATATTATTCCCACCGACTCAAACAGCACAGATGCTGATGATACTCACTTCTGTTATTGCAGTGAAATCGTAGATTACGGTATTTAACACCGGATATTTAAATGTGAAACCTTGTGTCACCTGTAGTGTCGATCAATTTCAATAGATCGGACGTCAAAGGAGACCACAGTGGTCAGTGTCAATATTTTACTTTGAATCAGCACACGGAGAAACTGATGTATTTCTTGTAGCAGTCATTGTAAAACAAAACAGCTCGACGTGGTTTCATATTGAATAAAGTTCCTCTATGCGGTTCCTGGTTCCGAGAAGTAGGCCTGTAGAGTGAGTAATAGTGAAGGTGCAGGCCTCTAACCAAGATAGCCCCAACTGAGTCACAGTTCAGTGGCTCCACACTGCTGTTCCCAGCTAACAGCTCTGACTTTCCACTGTTTTTCTGTCTCACCTGCTTTTCCTACTGCAGATATTATGTTTGTATTGAAAAAAGGGATGTCTAGAAGTCATATTCCACACACTACTTTGAAGTGTCTGTATTTGCAGAAGTGTGATTGGCTAATAAACAGTGCAACAAACTGATATTTGCACTTGCATCTAAAATCACAAGAAGTAGGTGCTTAAAATTACACAATTTTACTTTGTGTCTTGCATAAAATTCACCAGTGTTCAGTCACTTTCAGTCACTGTTTTCGGATCTGATTCACAAAACTTTCAGGTTCATGCATCAATGGTTGCCAACAGGAAACGTCTGCACTCAAAGCCACACACTGTAGCCCCTTCTCTGCAGAGCTCCGTCTATACACACACCGGAGTGTGAATATCACTGTGAAACATTCAGTAGATTTCCACTAGATGAGATTTTTTTTTTTTTTTTGGAAAACTGTGTGGGTGATGTTGATGTCAATGTGTCGATATGTGATTCTCGCAATGATTGTCAGTGGCATGCTGGATTGATGCTATCGGCAGGCCAGAGGTCACCACAGAAACCACCAGGCTTTCAACTAACATCAGCCCTGGAAATTTGATGAGCTAATTTGCGCTTCTCATATTGTATCTCTCAGTTCAGTTACCAGAATAGTGGCTTCTGAGGGCCTCTTGCAGTTTCTGTATGCGCAATGAAAATATTGTGGCATGTCTCATGAGGGTGAAATGTGCATGCCTTTCGTGACCCTCTCAAGATGTGAAGCAGAATCACTTATTCCTTGTTACTCATTTCGCAATCACATGAAACAACTGTACGCACACAATCAGCGCTTGAAAATTTCACCACTATCTCAAATTCACTAAAAAAGGGAAATGAAAACACAACGTATAGCTCGGCCTGAGTAGTCATGTCTGTAGTCACTGATTAACTGTAACTGAGGGAAATTGCCCCGGCTGCTGCCAGAAGGCCAACTGACATTTTATCAGCAGTGACTGAGGTTAGTACCTGGTTTTCTGTCCCCTTCTCTTCGTCACTGGCTGCTTTTTGTTGTGACGTCTCGCTCTGGTCCTCTTGAGCTTCACAGTGGGGACAAAACATTCAGCAATGTACCCCAAAAGAGGAGGGTGTGAATTTAAATTCAAAGAACCACAATAGAGGAAGCAAGCAGTTTTTCATTACAGGAATTATTGGCAAACATCCCCCGTCACCTAAACACTATAATCAGACATGCAAAACAGGTTCAAACATTTCATTAAAAGTAATAAAGCAGAACATCTTCACTGAAGGGAGTGTAGTAATTTTTGTAACTTGCGCAACAGTCAGGTGATCAATAGGTAAAAAAAAGAGATCTGTAAAACATATTGTCAACTGAGTGTGATATAAAACCACAGGTTGCAAAACCACTTCCTGCTCATGAACATAACCGCTTGTATGTTGCACTGTATGATATTGTAACACATGACCTACAGTCTCAAGCAATGTGTTGTATGTAAGCATACAGTATTATTCCCTAAGCATGGGGACAGGTGAATACTGTTAAGAAATAGCATATAATATTAGTATTTGTAGTGGAATATGAGACACTGAGAAATACTGTACATTTTATTCTCATGTCTCAGACTTACTGCACTTTAAGACGTCGACAAACACCAGTATTATAAAACACAAGACCTGGGAATGTAACGTGATTCTGAGAATGAATTTTCTTTTTCTTCACAAAGCCCGTACACCCTCCACCCACAGTGATATCACTTGTGTGCAAAACCAATATGCTTCTCTTTTGAGATCACTTCTTTCCTGTGCTGTGGCTTGAACCTTTAATTCTGCTTTCAGTAGCCTTTAACTTCTCCATTTCACTTGTTGAAGAAATATCTCTGATACACTGTATTATATCTCAGGCACTTTCGAACATGTGCTGGTGCTTTTTATCAGTTTGTTTCTTGGTGTATTGACAAATTCTTAGCTGGGCTGTTTCAGTAGATATTGATCTCAGCCAGAACATTCTGATAGATTAATTTAAGGACTTATTTAAGACTGAGATTAATAATAAAATTTTCAATCAAAATTGTTTTTTTATAGTTCAGTCACAAGTTAATGAAATGTACATTCAATTATATTGGCAAAAGCAGTTTCTCATACATTGTATAAACAAGGTACTTTAGAGTGTTCTGTGCAGTATATATTAAGTTTTAATATTTATCAAGATCAACAACTAAAACTACAGTATTCAACCTGTTGTAGTACATACACAAAATAGCACACATGATCAGTATCAAGCTTCAATAAACATAAAGGTCATTCTCACCCATTTCCAGAAGTTGTCTTGTAGTCTGGCTCAACACTGTTTTGTGACAGTAATTCACGCAGCGTCCTCTTCAACTTCACACAACGAAACAGGAAGGTGTCTCCACACCACAGTTTCATTGGTTGACTGCTGGCACCAGAGCAAATGAGTCTGGGAAACTGAGTTTTGTGTGTGTGTGTGTGTGTGTGCGTGTTATTCCAGTCTCACAATGTCTGTTCTCTGTTTCATCACCTGATTTTTAGACAAATAACAACCACTGGGTTCCATTTTTTTTTGGTTCTGTGTTGCCAGTTTCAACAAACTGTGATGCTGTGATAGGTGTTATTACTTATTTACACATAAATTAACATGTTTGTGTCTTATTTTCAGAATTTTCTTAGCAACACATGGAACTGTAATGTCATTTCTTATTTTAATGTGCACATGAGAACAAATGTTTCATTTCTTCCATCCAGTTTCTATCTAACAGTAACTCAGCTAAGTTTCATGATTTAAGCCTGGTCACCTCCAATGTTCAGACTGGACAAATGCACCAAAATAGCTGAATTTGGGGAAGTGAAAGAAACATTCAAGTGATGCCCAAATAAAGACTTAAAGCTGGAACAACATTTCCCAGATGTCTACATTTTAGGAACATTTAGCTACATTTCAGTATTTTAGGAATTTATTCTTAAATACAGGAACTAGGGCTGCACCACTTACTGTTAATGTACATCAGATGCTTGTGTAAGCGTCAAATATTTCTTAGAGCTGCCCGATTAATGAGTAATAAACTGTCTATTACCCAACGATCAGATGTGGTGATTCAGAACCAAGAGATACAATGTTGAGAAAAGAAAAAGGGAACTCACGCTACTGGTTCCCGAAACTGTGTGTTGCTAGTTCAAGGAGGAAATTGTTATATTGCATTTCAGCACAGATGTGATAGTGTGTGTTAATGTGTGTAGAGGAGGACATATTTCTTTTTATCACAAAATATCTTCTAAGAAATACAACACAAAGTACTGAATACCACAATGAGTAAGCATTATGAGAACGTCTTACTTAACTTATGAGTTTATCTAGTACATTAAAGGGAAAGTACACCCTAAATCAAATATTTTCCCAGTTACCTGTAGTGCTTTTTATCAGTCTTAATTGCGTTGGTGCAAGTTGCCGATTGTTGGAGACAGTAGCCATGGAGATATTACTTAAGATAATCCACAGACCTTGTTGTGAGCAGGTTCATGAAGGAACTATTTTCCTTTTACCGAACTACACCTGCCAACCTTATCACCACACTGAAGGAAGCGTGCATCTACTGCTAGCTCGCCTAGCACCACTGAGCTAACTAAGTTTACAGCTCAGCCAAGGAGGAAGCCATTAATATTTACATGCCACACTGTTGCAAGCTTCTCATCCATCAGTAGACGCATGCCTCCTTCTATGTGGTGATATGGGTGGCGGGTGTAGTTCAGTAGAAATAAAGTAGTTCCTCCACAAAACCACAACAACTTCTTTGAATTATCTTCAGTAACTGGGTCATGATTTCTGGAAAGAGACATTGCTGTTGAGTTTTTCAAATGTATTTTTTTTATGCTTTATGCACCACAAGCTGGATGCCATCTTGTTCCAGTATATTCAACAGAAGGCAGACATCTGTATGGTTGATATTTACAACAATCAGCAACTCACATTAAAATAATTTAGACTGATAAATAGCACTACAGGTAAAAGGAAAAATATCTATTTTCTATGTTGGGGTGAACTGTCCCTTTAAAATAATAGGCAACACATTTAAGTTAGTTTAAAATGGAGTATGAGAGTATTATTATGGGAATATAAGTTTCAGTTATGGTAATAAAAGTAGTTTTATTTGACACTGATGTAACTATGCAAGGATAGGTGTGGTTAAAAATGTATGTTTGCACCTCATATTACACCCAACAGTGATGTCACAGTGTCCTCGAGCCCACCCTAATACACCCATGGAGTCCAAGGGTATTTTTTTATGTGGAATATAAGAATCATTCTGTTGCTTTGCATTTTTTGCTTTTCTAGTCATTTTTCAGTTTTACTGCCCTGTCTCAAATTATTGTTGAAAAAGTGATCAAATATAATAAGTTACATTCCTTTGGTGAAGTCCAGTTTGACTAGTTATCTGTAACATATTAAATTTAAAAAGTAACCCTCCCGACACTGATGTAACAAGGTGAGAGGTTACATCACTGGTTACTCTTTCATTTTTAATGCAGTGTGTCCTGATGCTTTTTTCCCCTCAACTTGTAAATCAAACTGCTGCTGTGCTGACCTAAAGCGCCAAAATAGAACATATTTGCTGCTGACAACAAGCATGTAGTTTTGACTCATGACAGCTAATAGCTGAGCAGACACATAGGCTGACTCTAAAAGCTCACATGTAGGTAAATGAAAGTTTGAGACTGCCTGGTAGCTGCAGGGGTTGAAGACGTTACATTTTAAGGAAGAGGTGAAGCACCACTTCTTTAAAATGGTTCCTACTGGCCACGGCCTGGAAGATATTGGCTAAAAATAAAAGGCCAGGACACTGCAGAAGGAGCTTTTTCCACTAGAGATGAGTGGTGATAAAATGGCCACCTATTTCTCTCCTCTTACAGTTATGAGTCAGAGGGAGTTGTCTCAAGATTTAATGTCCGTTATGGCCATATGGAAAGCATTAAGGTCAAGTTACTCTCTTGTGGATTTCACATTTGATTAAATAAGACAGTTGCTTTAGCATTTTTAACCCTTTCTCTTATTTTCTCACCAGGTCACATTTAAAACTTACTGTATTTTCCCTCCATTTTCCTTTTTCAGTCCCACACTCAGTGAGATGACACAGATGTCGTGATAAAAACACTTGAAGCTGCACTCAACACAATCCACATTTCCTCCCCATGTTTTTGATCTATTTAAAAGGGGGATGCCCTATTCCCCCATCTGTTGCGGATAGAGTGTGACATTTCAAAATGATTAACATGTAAATGTCAAAATAACCAGATATCGACAAACTGTCCAAATCTCGAGAGGGATTTTTTTTTTTGTTTGATAGACACAAAACAAGTTTTTTGTTTTGCTTTTTTTTAGATGATCAACAAGGCTCTGTGCAAAAATGGAAGAAATGTGATATTAAGCTGTTTGTTTTCACACAGTTCCCATATGAACAGATGCATAGATGTAAAATGTAGAAATAAAACATTTGATGTAGATTAGACATCTGAGTCAATAGGGTTATATAAATGTAGACATGATGAGATTCAATGAGGCAGAATTAACTTGCAGAGATGAGGTGTGTGGTGATATTTAATCCTCTACAATAACATACTTAATGTATGTCATACACAAGCCTTGATAGGAAATGTATTTTAATTCCATTTAATTCTGACAATTTGTTTTGCAGATGTCTCGAGGGCTTCTCTATCTCCTGCAGCCGACAACAAAAAACATCGGCTGAAAGATTGAGAAAATCCCCAGCTATTCATTTCAGACTTTCACTGACATAAACATATGAGGTTGAGGTGAGGTGAGCACAATGTAAATGACAACGTGTGGAGAAAATATTGTGAATCCAACACGAAAGATTTCCTGTCTGAAGTGAGTCACATCTGCAGATTGGGAACAATCTGCAGATGTTTAACTGGCACATAAGAGGCCAGTCATGGTGAGAAACTGTCATTAGCTGAACGAGGTTTTCCAGAATAAATAGGTTTATAGATGCACCCTGTTGTTTCAGGGATAAAACTTACAGAGGTATGTCTGCAGTCGTTAAAAGCAGAGGTGTTAGGCTTTAATGATGAGAGTTAATATGTTCATATTTTTTTCTACATGGCGTGGGTGTGGGTGGAAATTGTCCTGAAACTAAGTCCAGATAACAGGTTGACTCATTTAGTGATACACTAATATTAAATTACATTTAAAGACAAATTTTGATTCAGGCTGAAACTGAATATTTGGGAATTATTTAATGGAACAAGAGCATTAATATGGACTTTTATAACTGTTATCAAGATGGCATTTTATTGCAGGACTTTAATAAAACACTACTAATGGCCTGGAAGTTCTAAATTTCTTCTTAAGCAATATTTAGCAGAATAGTGTGATATACACAATATTAAACTTTGCAATTTATGTCCAAATTAAATACAATATCTCATATTACCAATGTGAAGCTGGCCAAACAATTAAGGTTATATAATAGAGGTAGACTGATTTTAAAGATATACATATTGCAAATATATTTCATGCAGCTTTTATATTATCATTTAATATTTTTTTAATTTGTAGGACACATCTTTTGTCATTCACGCGAACACAGATTAAACTGAAGGATGTGGGAGAAGTAAAATCAGATATTTTCGTGTGAAAATGAAACCTATGCATTAAAGGTGAATTCCCCAGCTGTTGCCTCATTCCAGGAAACTGATCATAGAGCACATACTAAGTCTGTGTATATGTCTGAGTTCCTGTTACACATCTGAAAATCCCTGAGGGTTTTCTATGTTATTTCAAGCTTTTCTAAAAATCTATGCAGCCTGTGATACGCTTACCCTATCTGAGAAGACACGACAACACGGCTTGCTTTTATTTATTTTATTATGAAGAATGTCTGTGCATTACAATAGACTCTGGAAAAACAAACATGAATAATGCAATGGATATATGATGCCCTTTTCTATTCATTATCGATTCATTTTTCCTTTATCCACTGACCTCAAAGCTTAAAAGAGCAAAAGTTCTGTTCCATGATAAAAAAAAACAAACAGTGAATTTGAAGATTTTCTATTAAAATGTCGCTGCATCCACTTCCCGTCATTATGGCACCATACACAGCACATATTAGAGATCTGTTAAGCACTCAAAGTCAACCTCAAACCAGTGAGATCCAAGCATGAAAAAAAAATGATGCAGACCTATATTTTCTTGTTTTCAGCTCGTCCCTGAAAAGTGAAATATGTTGCAATAATCTGGTTCAGATGACGGAGGATGTGAAATGAAAGCGACCATTATATGCTCACAGTTAAAGGGAACTGAACCGTTTTACGCATTCCCCACTGAAATCCACCCAGAGCACAGCAAACATCTGATTTTTTTCTTCTTAAATATTCACTTCAACCACAGTGAGATCAGTACTGAAAACATGGTTTGAAATTCACATAGGATCAATCACAAAAAGTAAAGTTCAGTCTGCCGGTAAAGAAAGGCAAAAACAAGGCAAAAGATTATACTGTAGCTGGTACCGCCATCTTTGATTTCTTTTCTTTCTTTTTTTCCTGAAATGTACAGGAGCATTTGCTACAAGTAACAACAAAATTATACCTGAAATAGAACTGAAGTCACTTTGTAAGGAATGTCAAATAGAAGTGCTATTAATGCTCACAACTGAATTTAAGACTCAAAGGCTGATATATTGTACTGCATCACATTTATAGGAAAAGAGATGGTTTTTTGGGGGGGAGTGGGAGGGAATTTGGTCGGGCTGTGGGTCTTCACAAATCCCTAAACTATGCCATCAGTTGCTCACAACATCAACAATATAATGGAATTGCTTTCTTGAAAATATAAGAGATTTCAAAAGCTTCTGGCCCACGATTACCATCCCTTCATTGGTCCATGATGTGGAGGATCGTTTGCTCCACTTCAGCCTGATCAGCTCACGTGTGTGCGAGGACGGACTGTGCCGTGTGTTGTTTTACTGCAGATGTCCTCTGGGGCTGCCAGTGTGATAATCTGGGGGTGGAGAGGGGGGCAGGAGGGGGGCTGGGCTAGACAAGCTCCACGTAATTGGCCGGGAACATTCCAAAATGGCCGTCTGGGCCGTAGCCTCGCCACCAGCCCTCATCTATCATCTCGATCCCGGTGATGATGTCGTCGGGATCAAATGAGATCTCGGTGTCATCAGCTGGAGGAAAAGAGCAGAGTTTTACGAACATCAGCAAAGTTACTGTAGGAAAGAGTTTCAAATAATTTTAAAACTTTCTTCTCTCTTTAGAAGGGTGATTTTGGTATATTTCAACCCGAACCATACATTCCCATGTTTTTGTGTCTAAGTGAATAATGGAGACAACAATTTCTGAAACTGGCCCAGTATTGAGTGAGAGAACTGCAGCTGGCAGCTGCAAAACTTGCTGTAATGTAATCCTTACTCAGAGCATGTGCAACCTTAATGTATGTCCACTAACAGTGCTTGTGTTTGCCACTGACAGGCTCGGATTGTTTTAAGTGTTTGTCAACATTATGGAGAGGAGTCCTACAAAGACACTTAGGTCAAAGAGTAAGATCCTTTTTGTTTTACCAGAAACAGCCCTGAATCGCTACCGCCACACCCACCAGACTCCATTTAAATAAAGAGTAATTTTAGTGTGTATAAATCCAGCGTATTTTGACATCTAACTGGGTGAGTTAAGGGTTTATTGCAACCAAACCAGAGCTGGTGATAGTTGGAAAAGGGGAAAGATTTTTTTTTGTGAGTTTTAATACGTTTCTTTTGACTTTGAAAGAGGTGTGTTTTATAATGATAAAATTACAATTTATTTCAATTTCAATGGAGTCAGACACTTTTAAAAATGATTTGAGCCTATCAGTGGCAAAAACAAACACTTAAAGTGGACGTACGCTGACTGCACACACATGCCTCAAGTGATTACATTGCAGCCTGTTTTGTGACTGCAGGCTGCAGCAGGCTCACCCAAAAATGGACCAGTTTCAAAAACTGTTGCTCCCATTTGTCACTTAGACACAAAAACACTGGAAAAAGGGATCAGGCTGAAAAATACCAGTTTCCCTGTAAGCAAAGTTAATTAGACTATAATTTTTTCTCTGTAAATGTTACAAACAAGCAACTACTTAAAAGGTGACAGAACACTAGATATGTTTTTTGAGTCAACACATGAGCAGTCAGTTGATTACATTATAAAGGTGCAGTGATTAAGAAAACAAAACTCACCGGCCTGGTAGTCATATAAGGCTCTGGCACAGATGCCTCTGTCTGATGTCTCCTCAGGAGTCACCTCATAGGAGTTAGTCTCCTCCACCTGTAATTATTTTTCATGATTAACTTACATGGTGGTGAAAAAACAGTCACAGCATTTCCTGCTAAAGTTAAGTAAACAATCACCTGAGCGGGCTCTTCAACAGCTGTCTCTTGGACATAGGAGTTAGCAGCTGGTGCTTCCTCTGAAAAGACAGTTTACCATTAGCATGATGTGTCAGAGCTGTGCTGTGCACTGACCAGCAGGTGGCAGCAGCTGCAGCTGATCCTGACAGCTCAGTTTGGCCAAAGGGGATAATGTGTACTTAGAGCAAATTACAAAAGAATTTTTATAAGACGCAGATGGGAGGGTCGGAAAGCTTATGCCTAACACTGTGGCTGATGTTGTGTGAAATGAGCCCCACCTTCACACCTGGGCTCCTGGGGGGCCGCCTCCTGCTCATCATACTCACACCTGGACTGTCCATCATCCACATCAGGCTCTTATCACCCAAAAACACAAGCACAGACATGCATGTACACAGGGGAACACGTTCACAAGTCCACACAGGCTTGAAACCACCACCAGACACAGGGACTGCTGGCACATTTCACATGAGGAGTAACAAAATCATAATCTGGAAGTTTCTTAGGAAACAAAAAGAACATTGAATGGAAGCATGGCTCATGATGATTATGAGGAATATGAAGATGATCACACATAGAAACAATGAGAGATGAAGCATGAAGCTTTTAGTTAAGAATGACACCATCACCTGATATATCATGGGTGCATTCTCTGTGTATGTACATGTATATGTGCATATGTGTGTGTGTGAGCTCACACCTGTGGCACGGACAGGAGAGGCGGAGCCTGCTGGCACAGGAGAAGCTTGGCGCTGAGGTGAGCTGGCTCGCTCACTTTCATACACTGGCTTAGACAGAAAAGGGCTTTGCAGACGCCCTGAGCAGAGAGACACATGGAACCCCCAAAACATGCCGAACAAACAAAATGGGCAAGAGAGAAAACAAAGTGCAGACCGGTTGAGCAGAAGAAGAGAAGACACCATGATGGAGACACAGCGTTAAGTATGACTATGAGACACCTGGGCAGTCTGATGGAAAGTTAAAGCTCTGATAAAGACAGCGTCGGGAGGCAACCTCCTCTAGAAATCACCTACCACTAACTGAGAGAGGATAAAAGAGCTTTGCAGTAATGCAGGAGGGGCTGTGACATTTAAAGCAAACACATTTATATGAAGAGGTCATGGTGTGTGCAGGGGTGATACCTGGCTGGGGGCTAGCAGGGGCAGCTGAGGGGACGTCTGAGTCACTGGGAGTTATTCCCCTCTCTCTCTGCTTGAACATCTCTCTGGGGTTCACAGCACGCTGAGAGATGAGAGAAGCTGCCTCCTAGAAAAAAAGAGAATGAATAATATGTACAATAAGCATTAGTCAGCCACGGTTTATTAATAATGCAGTGGGAGATGTTGCTAAAGAAAAACTACAGAGGAGACAGATGTCTGACTTCCATTAGAGAGAGGAGAGATCACGCAGTAAAAGCTGGAAGACTGATGTGTTACATCGAGCTCTAAATATTCTGTTAGAAAGACACAAAAGCTTGTTTTGAGATAGGCAAGAAAAAAGAAAGTTTGGCCAGAGGAGAGCACTTTCAGGGAAGGGGAACTCACATTGGCCTTTTCCACAGATTCACCTCTCCTTACTGCTTTCTTCTGGGCTGCCTGGTTCTCCTCCTGCTCCTCCTGATAATGTTGATATCAATGATGGCACTGCTGACAGTTGCTACCTTCCTGACTAATCAGAATGTATGCACTACCAAAGCTTATTACACTATCAACATAATTGTTGAAACTCAATATGAAAGTAGTCATTTCAGCATCTGTTCGTACGTCTCCATCAAGTAACCTCACAGGTTTTACTCCGATTATAATCTTGTCACTCACCAAGTGTTGTCTCTCCTGTTCTTTACTCTCAGCTTCCTGCTGCTGCTGGTACTTCCTATTCAACAAATGACCATTTAGAAGACAAGAACAGGAAATGTAATTTGAACCCTTAAATAGGTGCAGCTTCAAACCAGTCTTAACCAGTGTGCATTTCCTTCATCTGCTACCTACTTTTGTTGGTCGATCTGAGTGGCCCTCTCTTTGTCCCTTTTGTCCCTCTGCATTGCCTCCTTGGCCTCTCTGTCTTTCCTCTCTTTCTCCAACTTTTGGCGCTCCTCGTCTGCCTTGCGTCGCTCCTCCTGGCGGCGTTTCTCCTCTTCTTTCTAAAAGCCAAACAGACAGGTCAGTGATGGGTTTGGTACTTTGCAAATATTACTGTGGTGGAAAAAAAAAACTTGATTTCACAATAGTTTGTTTAAAAAAAAAACTGCATAGCAGAGAGCAGCATTATGTGGGTGTAACTGTGACAGGTATGGTGAGGAGCCAAAACTGCACACAAAAGACAAAGTTACAACAAAGCTTTCGCTGACTTCGGTTAACATTGGTGATGGGTAAAAACTGCCTGCCTTGTATTTTCATATAGGCTTTTAAGAGGAATGGAAATGTGTGTCAAATGTTTCAAAACTGCAAACTTGTACAATATTTCAGAGTTCTTGCAATTTCAATGAGTTGATGATTTATAAACATCCTATATAAAAACAACAAATTTCTCAGGGAGTCATTTTAAAGAGATGCTTAAGGTGCTCATGACACCATCTCTCAGAGGTGAAGTTGAAGTTTGCAGAAGCTGAATCCAAGTTCAGGAGCCTACCTCTGCCTGAGCCCAGAAGTTGTCTTTGTTGGTCTTTCTGATTTCAGACATGGCGTTGGTCTTCTGGTACACTGAGCCCTACATGAAGAAGAAGGCAATCAATATTTTACATTATAAATATAATTATTATTATTAGAATGTTTATCTTCCCTCTATAACTAATGTCACACCAACACATGATGTGCCTGATTTATTTAGTGCAAGTTGTTTCTTTTAACGACTATCAGATATGAACCAATACCCCCGTTTCCACCGAGCAGTACAGTTCAGTCCGGTACTCTTTTTTTTCTACTTCCACTGCGAAAAGTTGCGGATGGTACAAATGGAACATTTCCACATCGTCCCCATTTTTGGTCCCCCCACTGTTGGGGTACCTAGCACACAGATCTGGTACTAAAAGGTGGAGCTGTGAACACTGCAGTCCATTAACTGGTCAACAGTGGACGGTCACACTGCTCAGGGCTGAGTTGTGGCTGGTTTTGAAGCTGTAACTACTGTTCATACAAAAAAAAAAAAAAAAAAAAAACTGTTGCAGAGCGTCATTTCTGTGGGCTCCGGCAACACTAAACCCCCGAGCTTGCCTGAGAAGGACTAAATGCACAAACCCGCTATTTTTAAATATCTCATCGAGAGAGACTCTCACTGCAGCCCGTTTTATTTTTGAGCTATTTTGTTCTGAAAATGTCAGCGTGCAGCCTCGTTTTGTGGATGATAAACGAGGTGCAGACTTCCATCTGTATCACCAGTAATGGGGAAGTACAGTGAGTGCTGGACGAGCAGTGAGTGACAACACTCCCACCCACATTTAAGAGTATGTTTGAAGTGGAAACGCTACCGAAAGTGTTTGGTGGAAACAAGACTAATAACTGCCTTTACATGCACAAGATATTCAGTTTTTGGCCTTATTCCAAAAAAAAAAAAAACCCCAATGTTTCTACTCAGCTGTTGACATGGCTAATAAAAATGAATATTGCACTAATACTCCTGTTGACATGCAGCCATGCACACTCAGATTAATGTGCCCAAACATGTCGTTTATCGTGTCAAAATATGGAAAATTGGAACATTTGAAGCCACTTCTGCAATTTGGCTTCTTTGCATCATAACAGTATTTTTCTCCTTTTTTTCCCACAGGTGGCGGACTTAGTCAGCCCTGTGAACACAGCCTCCCTTTTTCAGTCTTTCAACCACTTACTTGAAGAGGTTGGTGTTGCGATACTTGTGCATACTCTAAAATTTGTTAATATTCAAGTATTTCATGAGGTTTAAAAGTAGGTTTTCTTTTGGTCATGTATCTCTACCCCAGCCTTGCAAACTGTAGGCTAGTAGGTCTGTGTACAATGGCTCTATGACAATGCATAGACCTGACTGTAAACAGGTAAGAGGCCATGTATTGCAAACTGTGGTTAAAACCTCAATTGAGATGCATGTTCTGAGTGCGCTGTATACATGTCTAATAAATGCTCCTTAAGCCTCAATAATACCGTCTTAATCGGAAAATGCTTCATTCAGAAAACAGCCTGATTCTGAAAAATCCAAATGGAATATACTGTTTGCATCACCTACATTAAATTTAGAAAGTTGTCATGTTCAGAATCATAGTGGAATATCAGTGTGCATGTAAACTTAGTCAGTGACTGCTTTCTCTCATGAAGAGAGTATAACAGACTAAATTTAGTGTGTTCATGCCTTTCTTATAGGTCCACTGGAGGTTTTTTTTTTTTGGGAGAAATAGTTGTCAGTGGTAGAGCTGGTTGAGTGTAAATCAAAGGCCATGACAAAGAGAAAAGAAAAAACAAACATGTGCAAACAAATGTATCCATGTTTTGAGATTAAGGAGCCTAGTTAAGATCTAGCCCTCTGCTTATCTTTCTAGCATGAAACATAAGCAAACAGGAGGGCACAAGGCAGGAACTGCATGCGCAGCATACCACGGGACCCTGAGGACCGCTGTCCTGGAAGCGGCTGGAAGCTTCTTTGTGGAAGCTGTAGTTGGCTCCTGAGGCTTTGGCCACCTTTTGCATGATCACCTCGGGTTCCACGTCCTCCTCTGCTCTGGCGTTTATTGTGACATGGGCCCCCTGAAATAGCATTGAATAAAAGTTAATATTAATGCTCACACAAACAGAGAAACACCTACAGTTGGTATCTTGGTTCCTGTGAGCACCACCTGTAATCTGTTTACATGCGCTGTTTGCTGGTTTAACATGAATGACACAGACACCAATCCATGAAAGCTGTTGCATTATTCCAACCATGCCTGCAGCATGCTGTGTAGTGTTTTCTTTGGTTTTTATTTTAAGTCCTGCTCAGAGCCAACAATAACATGCAATTTAGCACACAAATAAGCTCCTCTGTAAACATATACAAACTGAAGTACACATTCAAATACATATTTAAACTACACTCAAAAATAAGTGCAGTGTTACCTTGAGAAAATTGGCCATGGAGCTGACATGATTTGCACATATTCCTTTCCTGGCGTCCTTCACTCCTTCTCCAGTCTGAAACACAAAGGATCACACGATAAGTTCAAGGACGGCCACTTCAAAGAGGACAAACAAATGTACGACAGTAAAGTGCGGCACAAACCCAGTTGATGAGGACATATTTAGGCAGGCCAGAGTTTGGATCCTGGACCCGACAGAAAGCGTACATCACTTTTCCACTGTTCAACTCCTCAACCAACTCCTCCAGTCCTCCATCTGACACATAAACATTGTGGAATTTCAAATGGTTACTGTGGTCGGTTGTGTAACCGTGGACATTTTTTCTGTTACAAATGATGGGGTGAGAAAGCAGAGGCAAGCACTCCTTTTGTGCTGATATTTCAGTACTGCAGCTGTATGCTGACAATGAAATTCCTGCACACATTTGATATTATTGTGTTGAGATCATAAAAACGTGATAATATCCACTCAGTTACTCACCTCCCTTTTCTGCCAGGCGGATATCATTACTGTTTCCCTCGTAGGTGAACAAGGCCCTGTGGAAAACATGGGATTAAGGATGTAAAAATGCCAGCTAAACTGATCACACAGACAGAAAAGAGTTTGTTCCAGAGGGTGATGTGCAGCATTTCACACTCAACAAAACAATGCATGTTATGTACAACGATTTTAAGCAACTTTCAGCCTTCAGCCCTATTCCAACAGGATACATTTTACAGAAGTAATGTAGTGTAAATAAAACAGTGCTACAGCTATAATCCCATTTTAAATCAGCTATGTCAGGAACTTTTATTGCCTGCTTCTGCAGCAGTAAAGATTTAACTGACTTTTTCTTGATACTAAATGCCCAATAAAAATAACTAAGGATTAGCAGCCCTACACAAACTAAATCCCTGGTTAATGCTGGCACATTTCCCATCTTTTCTCTGTCAAGTCTTTGCCTGTGTGCTCATGTGGACAAACAGTCTGTCCTCTTCATGTCTGGGTAGGCCAAATAGCCTTTTCCTGTTATATATACAGGCACTTTATTTTTTTATAGGCCCTAAATAATAAAAAAAGCTAGATAATTATATCAATCAAAAGATTATGCTGACATGCACTTAGCAGAGTGGCTTTAATTGTGTCAGGTTTAGGTTTGTTAGGTGGTAAGTTGTTTAAGTAAGTCTATAAAATATTTTATGGCCTTTATAAGGCCTACATTGTTATATAACTGTACTTAGTAGTCATTGCTGCCTATTAGTAGATGAAACAAGGTTAGAGCTGTAATTCAGTGTAGCGCTGAAATGATCAGTGGAGTCAATTTTAAGCAAAAATGCCAATCATCTGCTCGCTCCAGCTTCTCATGTGTGTGGATTAAATGATTTTCTTTGTTGTAAATGATCATAAACTGAATATCTTTGGGTTTTGGACCATTGGTTGGACACGCCTTGGGCTTTGTGGAATCATGATGGGCATTTTGATTATATTGTAGTCAAAACAATTATTCCATTAAATTGAGATAATCTACAGATTAATCAATAATGGAAATAACCATTAGTTGTAGCTCTAATTTACTGGCACACAGAGAAGACTTAATTATGATTGCAAACCATATCTAACGCCTTTAGGTTCCATATAATAATAAAAAAAAAATCATAGATGCTGTTATAATTTTGCCTCACATCAATACTACACAGCCTATGCATCATTTGGCCTGCTCTGACACAGACACTTAATTTGTGAGATCTTCTTGTTTAATTGTCATCTATCCATGCAATACATTGTAATTGTAATTAATAAGAATGTTAATTGCAGACCAGTATATGTTAATGTTTGCAAAAATGAAAGTACTGGAAAACACTGTGAGGCTCAGGGGCCTATAAAGGCATTTGCTTCTGATCAGTGCAGGGGATTCAGTGCATACTTTCAGAGCTAGGTAAGGGGAACTTGCTCACACTGAAACTAACCGATGACTGACCGCTTCTTTATTCTGCACCTACTTTTTTCTGTCATCATCATTTTAGAAAAAAGAAACAAAACACAGTTACAGCAAGTTGTGGTGTCACAAGGCAGTGGCTGAAGGGCTGACATTCACAAGAGACACATTTCCAGATTGAATATGGGGCCAGCAGGACTCCCTGGGCAATTGCTCCTTGGGATTAATTAAATCAGGTCGTCATTAAACACTGCAGCTGTCATCAACAGGTTTCATTTTAATCTCCAGACAAGCACGGATACTCCTGTGACGTTAGGTAACGCAAAGAGGAAGTTCCTGGATTTGACTTTCACATATTGACCATATTTAGGCTAACTTCTGATATCTTACCAGGAAGTGGGTGAGGCAGCCATTCTGTTAACCTATTCATTAAAGTTCATGGCAGACTATCTCGCCAAAAGATTTAAATAAAATACACGTAAAGCCTAGACATTAACGCTAACTGCTTAGCCTGTTGGTTTTCGGTGTATCTAGCTAATTAACTATGTTACTAGCTATTCAGTTAGCTCAGCATTTACGATATTACACCTCAGACAGGCAATACATGTGAGAAAGCTAAACTGCCGTGCAAGCAAAACTGACTTTAGCTTATGTTAAATAAGTAGAAGGTCTGCCGTGGTTAACAAAGTGACATTAGGTCCCGGGTTAAGTTTATCTAACGTTAGGTTACCATTAACTTACTTGACGACTGGCTCAATGCTAGCCAACAGTGAAGCTAACATAACGCCTCCTACATAGGGCTAATACTGCTTTAATAAATGCTGCTCCTTACCAGTTGGTATTGGACTTTTCATCTACCACTTCTTTAAACGCGGCTGTTAATGCAGGGCCATTTTTGCTGAGGTTAACTGCCATCGTTATGCTGAGTACAGCTAGCCAGCTAGCTATCCGGGATGCGCCCTTCCTATTGGGAGGAGTGGCGATGATGCTGACTTTCAGCTGTGGTGGAAGCTAGGTTAGCTGGTAGCTACATCTCAGTCAGGGTACGCTGCATATGATGTAACGTGACACCCCGAAAGCGCGGAGCTAGTTTGCGATTTTCTATTATTCTAACATCGGCTGTGAATCTCTGCAATCCGACTTGTAAATAATTATTAAGAAGCACTGAATTATCTTTTTAGGAAAGTGAGATAAAACGAATGATGGCGCCGCACAAAGATTGTATTGTCTGCACCGCAAACCTCGCATGACAAGTTTTTGAATCAAACGCACCCTAGAGAGCAGTGTTCACAGGTATACAGTTGCTTTACCTGCAAAGAGCAACTTTTGCATTACTTTTTGACCAAACTTTGAAAACAAAATTATCTACAGCACATTTACACTATTTCCACAACTTGCTCTGCTTATTTAAAACAATATTCTAGTTAATTAGTTGCACTTCTTCCTCCTTTAAAGAAAAAACTATGCCCATTTTCAAAACTGATGTTATTCCTATGGCCAAAAATAGTCCAAAATATTATTAAATGTATACAATTTTCTCCCAAAACTAAAAACTAGAGTGCTAAAAATCAAATTTGTGATATCATAGGGTATAAAGTCTGGAGCTGCTCCAAAGACAATGAATTAGGAAAGATGTTCAGGGTAATGTTCTGAGTATATGGGTACATTTTCTGTTTCAGAACTGACACCACAATAAAATCAAGTTTATTTGGGTATTAATTATTAAAATTAGTCTCCCATTCACTTTGAAGCAGCTCTATACTTTTTACCCCATGATACCATCAAGTTTAAGACTTACTTCTCTAGTTTCTGATTTTGAGAGTAGCTCCGAGGTCATGGAAATAACATATTGCAATTCTTAATTTAGGTGGTGTTCCCCCTTAATGCCATAAGTGCACAGCAGGTTCTGGATCACTCTACTACTAGTTATTACTGCATTATAAAGACACACACAAACACAAAAATGACCGCAGACAATAGTAAACCAAGATGAGCTTTATTCATATGTTATGACAAGGTCAATAGTTATCTTGTGTAGGCTATGTGAGGACAAGTGGACGTTCGTGGTGGCATTTCAAGCACACATATTCCAAATTTTTAAGATGCATGAAGGCTGGTCCTGCATTCAGAGAAAGCCAGGCTGAAAATATCCAACAAAAATATTGGTACTGTTAAAGCAGGTTTCCATATCTAGTGATGAAATGAATCACCCATTTGGGGGATACAGCCCTGATAGCAAATTTACAGTTTATGACAAATTAATGTTCTCTCTATATATTTACACAATGAGGGTTAAGGCTAAAATTTTAGTCGGAGGTGTTAGGCGGATGAATTGTAACGAAATCCCTGATATCTGGCAAATGGCTGTGAGAAGGTTCTCCAGAGTGCAAAGCATGCCAAGCTGCCTATATAAACTCTATTGAGCACACTGGACAAAGGACTCACATGATGAATTGAGGCTGCATTCAATCATACAGTTGGAAGATACTCTGCTTTCAAATAAATAAATAGCCAGATGAACAAACAACAATGCACACAAAGTTTGAACTAGTACTATTAACACACAAGTCATTTTCAATTGTGGTCTGGCAGCAAGGACTTTCACTGCTTTTAGAAGATATATTTTTTAAACCTTTTAGTGTATACTGTGTTTCAGGATGACTTGTTTAGATTTTTTTAATTTTCTCTACAGCAGCTAAGAATAATTGTCTATATTTGACGCCTAAACCATGGTGTTTATTCTACAATCAAAGCCTCTAAAATGTTCATGCTTTAGTATGTTTAGACCTGTCTGAATGAATCCACCCAATAATGCCTCAAGAGCTAAATTTCTTCCCCTTTATAATATCAAATAATTCCCTTTATATTGGCAGCATCAGCACATTATGAGCCATGTCTAGAAAGAAAAAAAAATCATAGCATTTCCTAACTATTTTATCCAACAGTCACAATGGATTATATTAAAACCAATATTACATTATGACACATCACAATCTTGTTCAATTCTGGTGACATGAACGAAAAAGTTGCCTATCACTAAAGTTTTCAAAGATACAATACAAAAGGTCACAAACGCATCACCGAGACAAACTGCTTTACTGTCAGTGTGGATTAATAATCTCATAACAAACCAAACCTTTGCAGACTCAAATATTAACATAAACAAATGCCAACATACTCCACATCACTTTATATTTAAAGCAGATGAAAATCGTCATGGCAACTGTATTTATTCACCTCAAATAACAAGATGCACATAACTTGAAATTAATGGATTCTGAGAAATGTCAAGTCTGTTAAATTCCCATTTTGAGTATAAGTGACACCAGCTGTAACCAAAGGCCATTTTGTTTTAGAGAGACAGTAGCGTGTACATGTTAAACAGCGTCATTTAAAAGCTGTTCACATCCAAGTGTTGTTCAAAAATAAATGGAGATGGTGATGAAAACAACCCGAGAGGGCTAATTAAAAAAACCCTCTCTTTGACAAAATGACAGTACTTCTGCAACAGCATATTTTTGTGCAACACAGACCGTTAGGACCTATATGCATAAAGAACTTCAGGAGTGCCGCTCAGTCTTTGATCATTTAATCTCTTCATAAAGCACGAGCGTTTTCATTTATATGAACCAGTGAACTAAGATCAGTACATCTTTTTGAGGCCTGATGATATGGGACCTGGTTATTTTTCTCACCATGTGTCACTGCAGGTAAAAGGCTGATGATTTGGTTAGATACCTGAGTAACTGTACTGAGGAGGTGGCACACAGCTCAGCTATATGCCATATATAAGAGTAGCCATGATCACAGCTACACAACAAGTATTCAGTCAAACAACAGTAGTATTTTGTGCACTATGGACACCAGCCAAGGGTGGTTACTTATACAATGACAGCATGTGTGAGAAAAATGGAAGTTGACATTTGCCCTATACAGCCCCACAACAGTGAAACAAGGGCCAGCTATCTCTTAACAGCAGCTTTCCAGTGTCCTTAAAACCACTTAATACTGTTGCAATTTCAAAATGCAGTGGGTGATAAGAGACCAATCCTTCTTTGCATCTTTCACATTGTTTCGGGGTAGAGACAGTATGTGCCAACAGATCAGCTGCTGGTAATGGCACCGCACCATTTTGTGTTGAACAGGGAACATTCTGCCTCAATTGCACGTATACCGAAAATAATAACACAGAAAGGCCACTAAATACATGGAAATACAGTAATAACAAGACATCCAGTGGGACATAGACAGTACCTCTGAAATGAAGGGAGAGCCGACCTCCTAAATAAATCAAACATTTTGCTTCTGAGTAGCACAACGATATGAGTCATTGACGGTGAAAATGGTGCGTATGAATAGCAACAATGATAGTGATAATCACGATAGCAGGAGTAACAGTTTAAAGTCTGAGTGTGGCGGTATGGACTGTGAAGAGTTTCCGGTATTCCATATGGGAGTGCTTTAAGGAGCCCATCAGGTCCTGCTCAGCAGATCCATACAAGTCATGAAGGACAGCACATGGTAGCAGCTCAGCACATGGAAAGCCAGGTGGCACTGTACCTCATTGTATCGCTTCCTGCACCAAAAGATGGGCTGTTGCCTAGTTTTTTTTCGCCTCTGTTGCTCATTTGCCTCAAGTTACAAATCAAACGTGTTTCTTTTGTTCTCATTTGTATTTTGATCTCCCTGGTATTCTCACATTGCATACTTCTGTGTCCATTCTCTTGCTGATTTGTTGTATCTGTAAAACAGAGTTCAGAAAAGGTTTCAGGTGACCTCGAATAACTGTATCCCCAAAACTGACAAGTAAATGTGACAAGGAGAAAAGATGAGAGATGTAAATCTCATTTATGTGTTACACTCACTTTTCCCTGTCAGCCTTGTATGTATGAGCAATCTCTGGTACCAGTGGGTCATCCGGGTTTGGATCACAAAGAAGAGAGCAGATAGACAATAATACTGTGGAAGAACGAATGGGAGAGTAATTAGATTACATTAAGAGAGGAACAATGTGACAATGAGAGGAGATTTACCAGCTATGGCCTTGACAGACCTGCTCTTAACACCAGCACAGCTAGATGTAATTTTGACATCTTCAGATAATCGTCACAGTAGGGCCAAGTGATATTGATAAACAGAATATTAATATATACGTGACTAAATACCATAAAATATAACTGATCATGCATTTGTGTCAAGCGACAACCTCCGGGGTTGAAAAAATGGAGCCAGTGCACAAGTGCCAGAAACTGTAGTTCCTTGAATGACCACTTGAGGCTGGCTACAAGAGCAAGTCAATCCCCATAGACCCCCATGTTATGCCAAAAATGCCAAACTTTACAGCAGAAGCAAACGTTTACAGCCTGATAGAAAAACGGTTTTGGTCTCTTGGCCATCTGTTGACACACCTACAACGTTGGTTAGGTTAACGCAACCATGACGCAACCCCAGATTCACAGAGGATAGACGTAGCCATAGCTGCCACTATTTAAATGTTTTTACAGTTTATGAAAGTCAAATGTAGTTTTGGTCGCCAAGAAATGTCTTGTTGTTTATAAGAGGGTCTAAAAGACCCTCTAATGAGTCAGATGTTCATTTTTTCTGTAAGTAGATTTTGTATCAATGGTTTTAAGCCTGTTTTTCACTAGTGAACATTAGAATTAACAGTATCACAGTTAAACATACATGCACCTAACAAAACAAGCAGCTAGCCTCAGGGTTAGCTTCACCCTCTAACATAAATATGGTCACTTATGGCTCCACAAAGTAAGTAAATAAATAAATAAAATAAAAATGGCCACAGCCCACATGCCAAACTTGAGGCTTCAAGATGAGAGTCCACAAACCAACTGTTGACATCATGGTGGTGACATCCATTATTTTTCTGTCTTGAGTATATAATTGTAATGCACACATATTTACAGGCACTGATCCATTAAGTCAGTTTTTTGTATCCTATTAAAACAATATTAAATTGAACAGTACTTCATAACTTCATTTGATACAGGAGTCCATTTGCTCTGACACGACCCGTTTTTTTTTACATTTGAACATAACACTTGATGACATGGACCTGATTTGACATTTCACATTCAGTGTCAACATGTGACTTGAGATTGGAGTCTCATGGTTGCAGGGTCACAAAGGCCTGGAAAAAAGCTGAATTGAGGGAATGTATCAGCATCATTCTTTTGACAATACCAACCTGCTATGTTTGCTATGAACAGGAAGAGCAGAAATCTGAATCAAAAATTATCTGTACAATGTACTTTACAGTCCAGTCTCTGGATGTTGCAATGTAGCAACAAAGTACATTTTCTGACACATACATGTACAACATTTCAGCTCTGGCAAAGTACACATAACACCACCTAAAGGCATACAAGAGCCCTGAACTTCAGGTTGCAGGACTGTGTATACTGAGTCAACATTAGCCGTTGTTTTAATAAATGAAATGTCAACACACTAGTATGAATTTTGTATTTTCACTTACCTTTTGATACTGTAAGTGCAGGTGACCATTGTGATCTCAGTATATCCAAACAAATACTTCCATTGCTGTTGATATTAGGGTGGTATATTTTTGTTGTGAATGCAACCTGTGAGTAAACGGGAAAAGAACGTTGTAATTTTCCACTGAAGCCAATAACCTTTACCACAGTAAAAAATATTAATGACGAGTTGAAACATGTGCCTCATTATGTGATGCCCCAGATAAACCCTCACTCACTTTTGGTGGTTTGAAGGGGTAATCTGTCGGGAAGTGAATGGTGAGGAAAAACACTCCGCTCTGATATGGGCTGTCACTCTATTGAAATAAAAATAGAAACAAGATAAGTTGGTGGACAGCAATTTCATTGTTTTTGTATCATATTTCACTTAGGTTAAGATACAGTTTCACTTACCGGTCCCATTATTGTTGCCTGCCAATGAAACACTGGGAAGAAAAGATTTATAAAAGATTAATAATGCCTATACATTTAGATGCAAACTCCGGATGCGCAATGACATACTCTATTGATGTAATCTTAAAAGCCGATTTATATACAGCAGTAATGTATTATTGCTTGCTTTCATTGCTTATTTGCATACACTGATGCAGCAGTTTTCTAACTACTTACAGTCATCTCCAACTGGTCCAGCAGAGCACTGAGCTGGTGGGTCCCTCTGCAGGTCTGACAGCTCCTAAAGGCAAGAAAATTGCATAATGAAACAGCCTTGAATTTACTGTCAGCTGTAGTTTTGTAACACCTGTGCTATTTTCAGGAAAACCACATACATTTTAAGTGGGGTTAGCAAACAGAGTGGTTGTTTTAAGTTAATTTATTGTGTATATGTGAGTATACAAGAAAACATAATGATGCTGGACCCTAATTAGGGCAATACGCTACACGCCAAAATGCTGAAACATGGATTAATTATGTTTACTTTGAAATGATTTCCATTTATCCTTGGAGAATGGGAAGTTAACCAGCATCTTTGAAACTTCACTGGGGCTTAATCCATATAATGTCTGGCTTTATGGGCTAACTTAACGTTTTTTGGGTTCAACCCCAAATTTGAGCCAGACTGTAATTAGAGTCTTTTCAGTGGAAGCCATGTTTGCTGTGCAGACATGCTCCAGGGCTGCTGACATGTACATAGGAGTTTTAGGACAGATGACTTCATCAATATTTTAAGCATCAGTTCAGTTTCAGACCATAGATGTTGACTACAAAGGTTATAAAACTAGTACAAATTTACATACTAGTAACTAGTATGTAAAATTTCATTTACTGTATCAACAATGAATGTAGACACCTGGACCAAACGCCATTTACTCGTGAAGCGACAATGAGCACAGACAGCAAAACAACAGATAGTTAAATAGAAATTAAGCCTGTTATTTAACATCTCTTGAAAGGAAGCCTATCTATTCTGTTATATAAATACACACCGTGGCCTGCTCCAGTGCCCCATTTGCCATTCCATATATGGCAACACTGACACTAGGGTTCAATTTTGGCAACAAGCAAGCAGCTGTCATTCACCGGCTAAACACATCACCCGCCATACTCTTAATGACGAGCCACAAGGATAAAGACAACTGTCAAGCTAATAATTTAAAAGCAAATCCTGTAACGTTTCACGTCAATCAATCAAACCAAAGACCAAAGCACCTAGTAACGTTAGCTTACTGCTAACCTGGCGCTGCCTTGCGAAATGACTTGCTTGGCTTGTTGTTGCTAGCAACCTTTACATTAGGTAAGGTGCTACGTGTCAGAACGAAAAATAAACACAGACAAAACGTAGCTGTCGAAATAATGGCGCCGTTAGAGTTGTTATCGACTGCTAACGGTAACGTAACGGCAACGTTACTGTAGCAATGCACCAACAGGGCCGTTAGCTCGTCTTTGTCTGTGAATTACTTTAAAAGCAGCACAAAAACAAGCAAGTAATGCTTCGTGACTAATAAATAAAAGAATATAAACTGATATGATGTTCACAGAGGGTCCCACGGTGAGATAATTATCAACAAGAAGGTATGGTTAGCATGGAAAAAAATATACACTCACCTTCTGAATTCTTTTCAACGCCATTGCATCAATGGCTATGCTATGTAGCCTGTCAGCTAACAGTTAGCACTTCACACATAAAATTTGGCTTCTGTGGCCGCGTACTTCCAAATCTCACTTCACGTATAACCAGGAAATCCCGTCTACATACAGCAGGTTTGGGGCTTATGGTTTGTAAATCAATCTATGCTACAAAGTGTGTATTAAATCTCGATCTGTCTGTCGTTTGCAGTTGCTACAGAACAACCGAGATATTTTGCTGTCTCTCCTCTCATCCCGTACTCCACTTGCTGCCTAGCAAACAGTTTGGGAAGTATCGCGAGATTTCCTTGTCCTCTTTTTTTTTTTTTTTTTTTTACAAATCGTGAATTGACAATTACAACTTCATGCCATGAGTTCTTTTTTTGCCTTTACAATAATTATTTTCACACGATCCACTTCACAGAATCAAAATAATATCACTTTTAATTATAATGAAATATAATTAAAATAATTATTTTCCAAAACAATTGTATGGGGCCCACCTACTTGTTCATAGAAATTAAATTTTAATTTAATAATTAGGCTAAATTAAATCACTAATGCGACGAACCAGAACTCCATATCAGTGCTTCTCAGACATTGGCCAATTCCTACTTATATTTTGGCTGGGGCTACTAATTTTGTTACTTCTGTAGAAATATATATAAACCTCTCAACGTATCAGTGTATCTCAGTATATCAAATCATCATCATTATTATCAGTGCATTCATTCTTATCATCATGTACACCTCACAACTACTAGAGATAGGAATGCAATGTTGAAACAACAAGGTAATCCATGCCTTAAACTTAGTCTATGACTTCAACACAATAACTGAGCCCAGGTGTCCACAAGATGTCACTATTTGAAAAGAGCAAAAACACACACAGGAAAGACATGACCACAATGGACTGTGTACAGCTTTGATCGGAAAACGTTTTTCCAAGCTCTTCATTGTCATTTATCACATTACATTTTGCAGACTCAGAATGAATTAATTACTTTTACATTTTTAAATTAATTTGCTGAAGCGAAACAGTAAATGACAATGGAGCAGCAAAGTACAATGAAGCCCAACACGTGTATTATTTACGCGTACATAAGAATAAAGAAAAAGACTATAGAATTGTTCATTCAATACCCAATCATTGTAAAGGCATATTCATCTGAGTCAGCTGCATGCTCCGGTTTCTGCGCAGCCTTGTCTCGAAAAGCCTCATGAGCTTCCCTTTATATGTCTTAAACAAGAGTGAAAAAAGAGCTCTCATTATTTTAGTGCGTATGTATGAATGGGTCGCAGTGTTCATTCTTCTTAAATGGCTGATTCAGTGTCAGGTTGAGGATCCTATCGTCAATGTGACACTGAGAGGGACCATTTTCCTTTGGAAAGCTGAAGATTCCTTCAGATAATATCTTATTGTTTGCTCATCTCTGTGCTCTCAATGACCTGCCTGTCCTCAGGGCCTGCCTGTAATCAGATTCAGCCAGCAGCAGAGGTAGCAGTTTGGGTCTTGTGCAGCAGGGGCCTTGTGTTCTGAGTTTGTCTACTTGGAGAGGCCATTTATCAGCATGAGGTTTTCAGACACGGTCAAGCCCACACTTTGTTGGCTTGAAGCCTCAGTTCACAAAGCCTCCCACAGTCACCCTACTGTAGCTTCCTCTGAAATCTCAAATCGCATTGGTTTGCTTGCTACTGTGTGCTTTAAACCTACAGGGTTTGTAGTGGACAGATATCAGTAGTGAGCCCTTCAGTTACAGGGTGATGCTACCTTGTAAACGTTCAAAGCAATAAGCAAGAAATGCTGTGGATTTCATAAGGCAACATATCACTGACCTGTATGGGGAATTTCCCACCTATAAGCAGAAGTTGAGTTTTTAGTTACAGGACTGGTGCCCCAAGTTCCAAATTGATGTATGAGCCAAGGTGTGAGTGTGTCAGGACTGGGATGATATGGGTGGGGGTAGCAGCTTAGTTGACCCATCTCATGAGGAATATAGCCTATAGTGCTGTTATTTGAAACCACAGACTCAACAGACTCGAGTGATCTGTCTTTTTGGTCACATGAATCATCATCACCAGAAGTTCCATTGTATAACAGAAAGCTTTCCACTTATTGTGGCAATTATCCTAAAGCTGCGTCTGAGCTTAAGTATATTCCTCTCGATGGCACTTTTCCCATGGTTGCCATGACAAAGCGCATATGCTTGCTGTCATTTTCGAAATTAACTTAAATGGATCTTGCTAATGTCTAAATTATCCAATAAAAGCACAACCAATTAATGTTGAGCACAAGCTAGGCTCTCAGTCCCCAGAGGTGTTCTACCTTCGGTCAGTGTATTAGCTTTCTGAGGGCTCTCTCATGGAACAAAGATCCATTGTTCCCACATACTAAGAGATATTTGTTCACTCCTTGTATCAATGGTCTTGATTTGATTATACACTCAGGCAATATGTGCAAGCAGTGCTCATGTTTGCAGTGAAGTCAGCACTCTGCACAATCAAATAATTCTTGAGCTAAGCAACTGGAAAAAAGGGTCATTATGTATGGAGCAATCAGTGTTTCATGGCTCATTTCCTTAGCTGTGATTTGATTTTGCTTGTCAGTGTTAAGGTGGCCTTTGACCCAGAAAGTCTCTGAATTATTCCTTAAATCTTCCTTTTGCTTATGTGGGTATCAGTACTGGTGGGTTTTTCAACTCGGATCAATAACTAAAAGTCAATTCTAAGAGCTTTCTCCAGCTTTACCCAGAGTTCTTGTGTTCTTGTGCAAGCTGGTACATGACTGTGTTCCTTTTTTTTAATTTATTTTTTGGCTTACAAAGTTTGAATGATGCAATCATATAAACATTTATAGCTTCAAGGATGTGCTTATTAAATGGCATTATATGCTCTAACTGTGGCTGTAGACTACTCTGCAGGTTTTATAGGCCTAATTGCATAGCTGGTTACGGGATGTCTCATTTACAAGCAGGGGTCCCAGCTCAAAAATAATAACTTCATTTTAGTGTTTTCAGAGACCAAACCTGTTAAAAGTGACAAGCTGAGTAATGACTTATTTGCCGAATAACAGTTTTTGGACTCCTTTTCAACATACAAAAAGTAATTGTGAAGAATGGACCCTTTCAAAGCATCTTATGTTATGGAGTTTAAACTGTAGCAATGCATCTAAAGTCTACCGTTTATTACATGCATGGAACAAATGGGAAATTAAATGCAGATTTAGGAAAAGAAAAAGTGAATTCAATGTGGGAGATTCAGCGGCTGAATGCAGCGAAGTTAAAAAAAGCATCACAAACTGGAAAATCAGGTAAAACCAGCTCTCCAAACTGCAAGTTCTTGTCCAAACATGCTTTATGCTCCACATTTGGATTAAACTAGTATCACTAAAACACTGTTATTACAACAGCAATTATGAATTATGGATTCATCCCCACTAAAGTGATTTATGTGGGGTTTTTTTTATTTTTCTCTGATTATCAGATTTTAATGTCTCTCCAGAGATGGCAGAAATAATGAGATCAGATCCAGTCCCCTGCTTCTATCACCTCTGATCCACCCTTATCAGATGTGCATCATGTGGTACACAGACACAAACCACACATATAGTCATAAAGAACCAGTAATCCTTTGGGGTTAAGCACTTAAAGAGCAATCCCCAGAGCCCTCTGTGTCTCTGTGTTGCTCCACAGCTCTGGCATGTTGATTGACAGCTCTGGAAACTGTTTTACTGTGCTGCTCTTGCAATGAGTGGTCTCCAGAGTATAGGTAATAACTAGTCTGGAGTGTTGACTAATACGTTTAGCGGTGACTCTCCGTAATCAAATGTGTTCCAGCTGTTTGAGTTCTGATGACAAATTCAGGTTTTCCCAGTTTACTGAGCTTCCTTGAGAGACAAAGAAGGGATTTCCTCTGAAAGAGACAGGCAGTGGCAGCACCAACAAATGGCCTGGTAGTGTTATCAAATAGAAAGTCTGACTAAATATAAACTTATCATCTGCAGTCTGCGCCAGTGCAGAAAAGAAGGAGAGAGCTACAGTTGAAACAATGTCCTGGGACAAAGAGAGTAGATTCATATTAAAAGCATAATAAAAGAAGTAAGATATCCTCTCAGTCACAGCATATGGTAATATTTTGTGACCTCGGTCAAAGGGAAATATCTTTGTTATCCTTGTACTTTTGTTACAGCCAAGCACACACACACACACACACACACACGCACACACACACGCACACACACACGCAGCCTCTCTTCAGGAGATTTGAATAAAACTGTTGCTACATGATTCAGAGATATGAAAGCAGCCACCTGTCATTGGACAGGATTTTACTGTGCAGAGGTGTGTGGAGAGTGTCTGTGATTGTGTGTGAACATAAGTGACTGAGACATGGGGGGCTGTCCATCCTGCTGCACAATAAACAGTTTGTTTCCCAGGAGCACCCCTCATGTTCCTGTTGTTGGCTCCATCGCCGCTCACTGGGAAACGTCCTGGCCTCTATTGTCTGAGAGGTCGGGGGGTCACAGGATGCTCCTAAAGGCCCAAAAGGGGAGGTAAGAGGTTTGATAGTGGGGCATGATAAAGGGCTAACCCCCCCCCCCCCCCCCCCCCCCCCCCCCCCCCCCCCCCCCCCCCCCCCCCCCCCCACACCACCCCCACACACCCCCCCCCCCCCCCCCCCCTCCTCCCCCCCCCCTCCCCCCCCCCCCCGACACACACACACACGCACCCCTTAAAAAACAAAACATTAAAATTGCTTCTTTTTTCTCTCTCTTGTCACAGCGTCTTTCTTCCGCAACCCCAGTCATTATCAAGAGTCTCAGGAAATGAAATCAGGACAATGCTCCGACTGACTATTTCATATTGACTATCCTGACTGCCCTTAGTACCTTCTTTTTTTTTGTCTATGTGTAGAGCTCTGTTCCTTGCTTGCGTTCTTTGCATATCTTTATTGCTGAACTTAGTCCACAAGCTTTCCCATACAAAAATGGGAAATTCAATCTAGGCAGCTAACAGAGGGTAAGGCATATCATTAAAGGAAAAAAAAAAACAGCCAAGAAAGGAGTGGTTGTATTGTACCACTTTTACCACACAAATGTTATACTTAAACCACAGACAGAGCTTAAACACTGGCTGAGTCTATGGAGTAGATACATGTATTTGATTGCAGTGACCTTTTAAACACAATAGCACATAAACAGCCACATAAATGCTGTTTTTAAATACGTCGCCTCATAACAGCAGACGTTTATGATGGCTAACAGAGACGCT